ATGGAAAGGTCATCCCTGATTGGTCGTCGTGCTAGCTTCACATCGATGCTTTTCGCAGCGCATCTTTTCAAAAAGAATTCAAGATGTTATCATTCATCTAAACAGAGATATTTGCGAAATAAAAAATATTACAACATTATGGATACCCTATAGTAAAAAGAAAAATGTCACTTTTTTTAATACATTTTTTATATTTTTAACTGCATTTAATATTCAACATAAATATACCAAAAGGTGAAGTACGTTCCGGGCTTCTTCGCTATATATAGTAGATTAAAAAATAAAAGAAGTATAGTTACAAAAAAAGCAGTAGGGGGAATTTCAATTGGCCCCACTATAGCTGATCCTAGAGCAAAATTTATAATTGTCTTCTTTGTTAGCTACCAATAAATCCCGATTTCATACAATAAGACTCTACGGGTTAATTCCTCCTTCAATCTCAAACTCTTTTTCTCTTGTGTCAAAACTGATGCTAAAAACAATATAGTCATAGATAGAGAACTTCGTATCTTTTAGTAGACAGAAAGGCTGTGTTGCTGCCTTATTGGTTTACGCATGTTCAGCTGTCAGATTACTGGATGAATAAAAGGTTACACATAAGATGCCATAGATTCATTGGATTTGACATCTTTGTTGTGTTATTCATTAATTTATCGTGTTACTTGCTGCTGTTTCTTATTCTGCCGTGGACATTTTCCCATAAAAATTAGAAAGTAAGTTATCGTATTGTCAAAATGGAGTTGATACCTATCTAACTAGGTTAATTGTATCGAATTTACAAAATGGATAACCCTAACGACCTATCTTGGGCTAAGTGCATGAAATAGATGAGCATCTGGAGCTAGAATGTCATGCACTATGGACAAATTTTGAGGACTGCGCAGTTCATTCGCATAAGAAAGAAAACTATAAACAAGTAAGGGTAATGTCGACTTTCAATCCCTTTCCAGATCAAACATTTTTCACCTGAGAATAAGTTCGACTTGTGAAAATACATCTATTATATTTAGTCACAGTTTTAATGAAAATTATTCTTCTATCGACGTGACTTCCTTAAGATGCTTGAACATGAAAGTGGCGTGCTATAGACAAGCCTTGACGTCTGCATAAGTCAACCATACGAAAAAAACGTTTGCCTAGGCAATGATTTTTCTCAATAGTTTAATGCAGCTTTTCTAACCATGTGATAAAGCAGTGAAGTCGTGACACTAAGCTCTATGGGGTTTCCAGGGCGAGGGTGAGGATCATAGAGGTTAAATATGAATTTCGGAAGTGTCCTTTGTGATTATAAAAATTCCGAGAATACGGAAATCCGAGATTCCCTTGAAACTTTTGGGATCCTCATGGGATTCCCAGAATTCCCGTGGAATTCTCGTATTCCTGGAATCCCGAGAATCGTATGGAAATCCTATTGGAATTCCGGGAATCTCATGGGAATCCTGGAATCCCATGAGAATCCGAGAACCCCATGGAAATCCCGGGAATCCGAAATCCGCCGTTTCCCCTTTGATCAAAACTAAATAAGAAATTTTGCCAAACTATCTTCCACGGTCTGTGGGAGGGGATGGGATAGAGATCCAAATGTTTACCCCTATACTTCAACACTTCTTTTAGTTCGTGTTTCACAGAATGTTGCTACTTTCGAATAATAGGATTTCTTTGACAAAAAAGATCAAGCTTAAAAATTTTCGTTTACCAAGCAACGGTAAATGGTTGATACTGGTTACACACTCCTTCTTTGTCATCAACATCACAAGATAATTGATGTTAAGAATACAAAACAATTCTTTTGAAAACTTTTGACTGCCTTTATTCTAACGATCTTTTTCTCATTGACTGTTTTGTGAAACACGTTCTAAAAGGAGTGTTGAAGTATTTAGAAGTAGAAATTTGCATTCACTCCCACTTCATTACAGACCGTGATAGATACCTTAGCAATCATACGTCACAGACGTGACAGACATCCTTAGCAATGCCGTCCTTCATCACAGACAGTGATAGACACCTTAGAAAGGTCCTCCCCTCCTCCTTGTCACAGATCACGATAGACAATCTTAGCAACATTTCCTCTGCGTCACAGACCGTAAAAGACATCATATTATATTCTCATTTTCAATGTAAGTGAGTAGATCGAACGTGTTTCACATTTTAATCCCAAAGGAATTAAGCTAACAGCTTTTTCTTAAAATATATTTTCGTTGAAATACAAATTATATTCATATTAATCATTTTAGGCAAAGATAAACACAATCGAAATGTTGAACAAGAATCTAAAAAATATGAAGATATTATTCAAATTGATAACACTAAACTTTATTATCATAATTCATGTAAGTTAATTCTATTTTGTTATTTAAATGGAAAAGTTCTAAAATACTCTATTATGACAATCTATAATATAAATGTAGATATGAAGTTGACTGATAGAGTAGGATCTAAGTATCAAGGATATTGATATGAATTAAGCAGAGATACGAAATACTTCTAACATTAAATAGTGAATATCTGAAGAGAGTTGCTCGTGTATTCCTTTTTTTACTGGATTTTCTTGTTGAATTTTTTGGATGTTCTAACGGTTAGATCTATCATCCTAAACATGTTGATTATGTCAAAAGCATTTCTAATTCTTTTCTATTATTTTATTTTAAGAAAAATAATCGACATACATTGGAAATTATGAGTATGAGTTGGGTACGAGTATAAAAAAAGCTGTTTGCTTGATCTCTGCGGAATTAAAATTTGAAATCTGATCAAGGCGGTCACATCGTAAATTAGGAACTTACAAACGTCTTCATAACGGTCTGCGATAGGGTAGAAGATGTTGTTCAGGTATCTGTCACGTCCATGGGTTTAAATTTTCACCTCTATAGTTCAACACTTCTTTTCGACTTTTCTATATGTAGAATATTATTAGAATAAAATTGTCTTTGATTATCTCGATAAAATTTTAGAAATTTTTTTAGAAAACTTTATGTTATAAAGAATAAACAAAAGTTAATGGAAATATGATATGTGAAGATTGTTAATTGAACATTTTTAAATTAGTGGATTTATTGATAAGACAAAAACACCTGTGATAGAATGTATTCAGCTAACTTTGCTCTTGGAGTGAAATTCTGTAACGTTTTTTTTTCATTTTGTTTTTATTTTTTCGATAAATATCAAACCCAAGCACGTACAAAGTGGCGAGACATCTTAAACTAGAGAAAAAAATCTTGTGTAGATTTTACAATATCTTTCAGTCTCATATCATTTATCGTTTCGAAGGTATAACTAGCAAATTGAGTGCTAGATTTAAAAAAAATTAATTTTTTTCAAAATCCGAAAGCAGTACTCCATTTGCTGGTTATACCTTCAGCATGACAAATGATATAACTCTAGAAAATATCACAAAATGTGCATAAGACTTTTCTCTCTAGTTTAAGATATCTCGCAACTTTATACGTGCTTCGGTTTGATATTTATCGGAACAATAAAATGAGAGAAAAAATGTTATAGAATTTCACTCCAGTAGCAGATTTAGTTGATCACACCCAATAAACAGTAAGTAATATAGAGGAAAACAAAAAAAAAATTCATACATCTAAAGTATGAGCACAACTAGCTCTTCGCTAATAACGGCTTAGTAAATTTGGAACCTTTTCTCGAACCGTTCGATTTAAGTTTATTTAACCAATTTTTCTGGAAACTATATCACATATAATAAATTGACTTTACGTTGTGAATTTTCTACATATCTTAAGAATAAAAATTCGTTCTTCAAGTACAAAATTTTATTTTAATTAATTTTGTAATGTCCTACATAACGAAACTAATTTCAGTAAAAGTTCAGTTTGAATAGAATAGCCTTTTGTGGCAAATCTTCTTAGGAAAATATTTCGAAAATAGAACACAATAAAATCTTTCAAAATGAATTATAGTAATGAAAAATTAAAAAAGTTCATTTTCATTTTCTATATAAAAGTGTAATTATAAATCATTAAAATTCATAATATTAGAAAGCAATTCAGAAGGAAATCAAAGCCATGATCTTGTTGACGATATCAGTCAAATTGAATAAGAAGTTAAAGAGACTAGATGAATTAAAATTGAATTAACCAATGTAATTGCTGTTTCTATGTAGCAACGCGAATCTAATTGCTTAATTCAATTTCAATTCGTCATGTCTCTTTGACTCCTAATAAAAGAAATATATAAATATTGACTTTTCGAATGTGTAACGAAATAGATAAATGAAAATAAATATGGAATATTCATGTGTCGAATTGAATGATTTACCGGATGAAATTCTTCTAATTATTTTCAAAAAACTGGACAATCTTGAACTACTTTATTCTTTTCAAGGAGTCAATGAACGATTGAAAAAAATTATACATGATCAAACATTCACAAGTCGTTTAAGCTTTCTCAATCGGTCATTCAATAAATTTATCAATAAATTTTCTTCTAATATAATACTTAATGAATTTTGTTTACAAATTTTACCTAAAATTCGTACGAAAATCGAATGGCTGGATCTTGAATCTGAATCTATGAAACATATTTTAGATGCTGCTGATTATCCTAATTTATATGCACTCGGCTTATATAATATTGAAGAAGAGACAGCTAAATGTCTTTTTACTGGTAAGGAAATCTAAATGTAATTGTTTTAAGTCTAATCAAAGTAAACATATGTATACTTTGAAATTATTAATGTAGATGAATAAAACGTTGAATATATTAAATAAATTTCATTTCATAATTTATATTTAACTATGAAACTGTAAAAGAGAAGAATCGTTTACACAAATTAATATAAAGAAAGATAAAACAGAAAATATTTTTAATCAATAGAAAATAATATTTAAAAAATAATGATCATTATTTCATAATAAATTTATTGTGGACTATTATTTAAAGGAGAGATTATTTCTAAAAGAAAAATTTCTTTCTATCAAAGATTATCTTAGTCATTTGACTATTTTTCTTAATCTTTGATTATAATGATTATATGAAAATTTGATTATATTGTTTAGTATTATTTATGTATTTAGATGAAAGACTTTCATCTTCTATGTTTAAAAATCAAATTACAACACTTATTATTACAATTGATCCAGATAAACAGGAGCGGTCGACAATAGCAAACATATGTAATTATATCTTTACTGTCTTTACCAATTTAACTCATTTAACATTTTACGATGCCGCATATATGAATAATATTCGATTATTATTTAATATTCCATCTTCTAGTTTTTCTTCTTCATCTCTTTTGGTATTAAATATCAAGGTTCAAACTTTTGATATGTGCCTTTATCTTCTCGATGGTCGTTTTGAACAACTTCGTACACTCTATACTGAATTGGCTAATATTCTTTCTCCATCAGAAATTGAAAATCAAGTTAGTTTTACCAGAAAATAAATTTGATTTTGTTTTTGTTTTTATTTCTTTAGAGAAAAATTCCAAATCTGAAGTCTTTTGTTTTGTCTTGTATGGCGAGAACATTTTATTATAATGAATTAATTCTTCCACTTATTTATCGAATGTCAAATTTAGAAGAACTTGGTTTGTATTTCACGGCCTTTTGTTAATGAAACATTTATTGATGGAAATAGTTTGAAGAAAGATATTCTTAATCATATGTTACAATTAAAACAATTTGCATTTGATATTCGTTCGATTATGTCCATTAAGAATCAAATGGATTTACCATCGAAAGAAGACATTCAACAATTTACAATATACTAAAATAATATCTTGTGTTGATTATTTTCTAGAGTATAAACAGGCTCTATGTCATATTTATTCATATCCATTTTTAATGGAACGTTTCGAAGATATAACAAATAATTTTTCAGGTGGTTTATATCCATATATTCGTATTGTATCATTATATGATGAACACCCTTTTGAACATGATTTTTTTATTCGAATTGCTTAATCATTTCCATTTATGGAAAAATTAACTATCAATAATCGTTATGCACAAAATCAGAAAGAATCTTATAAATTAATAAATGATAAATCGAATTTATCAATTGTTAAATATAATTATCTTATTGAACTTTATATAGATCGAGCTCATGATGATTATATTGAAGAATTTCTATGTAATACGAAAACATATTTCCAAAATAATATTCTTCTTGATACCCATTATGAAGCATTAGAAAGAGTAACACATAATTTTACAAGAGATTCAACACGAATTAATTGTATGAAAGTAAATGAACTATTTTTATTTGGAAAACTCGAGTATTCAAAATCTTGTAAAGATTATTTTCCTTTTGCAATAATAGATTGATTATTATTATTATATTACAAGTAAAAGAGAAAAGTATTTTTTTTTGTTTTGTGTATTGTTGTGAAGAAACAATGTTTATAAAGAAATTAATATGATCGTGTACAAAAAAATATAATCTGTGAAATAAATTTACTTTTATAAAAGAAGATATTTAATAATTATTGGTTATGTTTAATGTAAAATAATTCTGTTATCATTTGTGTAATTGAAGCAATAAATAACTATTTTCATGGTTCTTTCTTCAGATTGAACGATCAAAAATGATTTATCGATTTGTTTTATGTTACGTATGGTCCAATTATTAGCAAATAATATTTAACACCTTTTCCATTTTCTAACAAACGAAAGATATAAATTATTAATTTTTATTTAAGTGAAATCAAAATAAGATTGAATTTATAATGAAAGAAAATAATGATGAACACCTTCAGACAGAATTATTGAGTCTTCAACAATTAATCGTTTCACTTTGGTTCAATTTTGTTCTGTTCTATTTCTTGTTAAGCTTTTTATTACACTTTTTAATTGACCATATAAATCTTTTAATTTAGTTAAACACGATAAATGTGTTTTAAATTCATTCAGAAATATAAATTAAGTAAAATAAGATAAGAATATTCAACAACCGAATATGAATAGTTATCAATGAATGGATATTTGTAAGATCTTCAAAGTTGTGGTCGAATATTCATAATAGATAATAATTTAAGTGATGAAAAGCTTGAGTAATTAGAATGAAAAATTCATGTTTAAATGGAAGTTTATCGTGCAATTTCAAATGAGTTACAGATCTGAATATTAATGAATGAAAGATTGTTCGTAATCTATTTGAGACGATCAAATATAAATGGGAGTGAGAAAACATGGCATACGATCTTAAAAGTATCGAAATAGTCTAGAACACAAGCCGCCTGGTAAAGATCTGTACTTACAAAAGTTCTTTGAATATCATAATTAGATATGCAATGAGTTGCATCATCACCGATGTGATTCTTTGTACTAATATAAAAATAAAATGTATAAAAACGTTATGTAATAAGTAACAAAAATCATTAAATTTATAAAAATTTCTTTTTCATTTTCTTCTTTCAATTATCTCTTATATATGTATATGTTATTAATCAAAGAGAATAGTCGATAATTTTTTTGTGTTCTTCTTTCGTTCAGTCATCATTCGTATAATATGATATTGAGTGCACGACATCTCATTTGTTCTTACACATTCAAGATGAAAAGGAAAATAAATTGAACATAACATGTGTAAAGACGACATAGATATCGCGCACTCAATATCACAGCATGAGTCAAAACAACCGGTTGTCATCATACGCTACGTATTAAAATTCCGTCCGCGTCGTCTTTCTTCGCGTTTCTCTGTCTCTTCTCGTTCTTCGTAACAGAAGAAAAAAAAAATTTAAAACAAACGGAGCTTTTTAGGGTGGCTCTAAAACAAAATGAACCTTCCCAGGCATATCCGACGTTCTGTTGGTAACCTGTACAGGCGTGTAGATGGTAGGCCTTCAAAACATACATCTATGTATGTATGACTAGAACCATACATCTCGTCATCGTCTTTCCGAAGATGATGATCATGGATGTACTAGTCATACATACATAAATGTATGTTTGCCTTATCATTGCCGGCTTTATCCACTGTACAACCCAACGGAATACGGAGGGTATCCCTGGTCGCGCGTGCACGAAATTTTTGTAGCTGGTGTGCTTCGGTGAGCCAAACGTATTCAAGAAGCCCAATTTATTTTCTCGTTTAAAAAAAAACAATTACATTTTCTCTTTCACAATGTCAATGTTTCTTTTCACAAGTGCAATATGTGGATGATTTGTAGGTAGTGATTTTTTCCATATGTCTTGCGCCTTTTCGTAATATGAAAGTGCTTTCGAGTACTCGCCCATGTCATAATACACTAAAGCGATGTTGTTGTAAGAAGTAGCCAAGGAGGGATGATTCGGAGGGAGAGCTATTTTTTGGATTTCAAGTGATCG